AGAAGTCCTTCGACATCAGCAAATACCAGAAGCGCTTGTGAAAGCCGTCTAGCTGACCTACCGCTGCTCTTCAATCCCTATCCGGACGCCTGTGGAGACACGCCACAATTCCGTTACCGTAGGCGTACGTCAAGGATCGGCTCTTTCGCCGCTGTTGTTCATTCTAGTTTGGACTGTGCGACAAGAAAGATTAGGAAAGAGCCGCCTTTGACGCTAGGATATGCTGATGACGTGCTGCTGATGAACCGGTCCAAGAACAAGTTGGAAAGGCGCGCCAACCGATGGAAGAAGGAACTCGCTGCACATGGACTCAAACTGAACATCAACAAAACCGAGTACATGTACACTGCCACAGTGACCTCTCCAATAATGATCAGTGGCACACCTCTGACCACAAGTTTCCTTACCTCGGGTCTACGCTAGCGGCGGATGGAGATGCCAAGGCCGATACAATATCAAGAATAAACGCGGCATGGAACAAGTGGAGGACTGTCACTGGCATTCTCTGTGATAAGAGAATGCCAGTTCACCTGAAGTTCAAGATCTACACTTCAGTCGTAAGACCAGTCGCCACCTATGGAGCGAAGCAGATGATAGAACCAAGAGCCTATGGTTTTATGGAGATGGAAATGCTGCGATTAAATGATACACACACGGCTCGAACGAATTCCGAAATGAAACCGTTCGTGGTAGGATCAAAGTCCAGCCGATTGTCAACTCCCTTGCCGCATCTCGTCTGCGCTGGTATGGTCATGTTCAACGCTTTCGCCGGCAAACGTCCAAATGGCCCACCTAGTCCTGCGACGAATAGGCAACCTGAACCACCATAGGTCTGTTCGTAGCCGAGGTATGGAACAAGGGATCGTTGGAAAGCTTTGGTGAGTTGGACACGCGTTACCGGACAAAAGTTGGACAAAAACACTAGGAAGAAGAAGAGAGCCTTCAAATTCTTTGAGCCGTCCTGGTTAAAAACCTCTTCAGCCCATTTTTCAAAAGAAGAACTATTTCAAGAGACACATAGGTCTGCCCATGAACTTTCTAGTTCGTGATGTATTGCTGTGCGCTACACATCGCTTTTGCGAATATTTCAACAACCATAGGGCGGTGTCAAGGCCGTAAGGGATAGGAAGCGTCCAGTGTACGTCCTCTGACCGGAAGAGGCTTCATGACGTCGAGATAAATGTATTGTCAGCAGCTAAATGTAGGCGGACTCGCCAGCAAGCAGAAATCAGTAGGACTTCGCCCCTTTTCGGGTGCTTCCATTTTGAAAAACTCTCTCCACACCGAGCAGTTACCCTCTTAATAAGTCGCCAGTTTACAAGCAAAGCCTTACCTTCGGAACCGTCGAACTGCTCCTCCATATGAAACGTCAAGAACTATTTGAAGTCTGGAAATGATTTTTTTCAAAAATGGGTGTAAACAACTGATGATCCCAATTAATCCTCACCAACCCCGCATTCACTCCGGCAACCGTCTGCTTTCGCATCCATTCACGTGCATTTCTCATATCCAGTGAAAGGCAATTACCAAGATTGGTCAATAACGGCTTTATGAACTTACAGCAGTCAAACTGTCGACCACCAAATGAGCACAGTTTCATCGTTTCTGTACAGTTGAAACTGAAATTCTGGTTTGTCTTCTTATCATTTTATTATTATTATTATTATTATTATTATTATTATTATTATTATTATTATTATTATTATTATTATTATTATTATTATTATTATTATTATTATTATTATTATTATTATTATTTATTATTATTATTATTATTATTTATTATTATTATTATTATTATTATTATTATTATTATTATTATTATTATTATTATTATTATTATTATTATTATTATTATTATTATGCACGGCATGCATCCTAAATCCATTCATTCACAAGCTCAGTGATTTACTGAATGCAGTGGCGCTCACAGATGATTGGCTAGAGCCACCCTATGTATACTCAAAATCCCTGAAAGCGGTAGGCGTGGCTACTTGGACTGAACGAAGCGGCTGCTGAGCTTTTCGTAAAATATTTTGATTTTGGGACCATGTGATCCATTTCTCTGCCCAGCGAAGAACCTGACGACATTTGTCAAATGAAAAATGCCACGATGTAACCCCACCCTATGCTGTATGTTGAATGCCACGCCTACTCCGTATTAGGGATAAGGAGTGTAGAACTAAATGATTAGAACTGTTTTATTCTCCCAGATATCTCTTGCGTTGAATAGGCGAGAAAGCTGACGGCGCTTTTGACAAAACGACCAAAATCACCCTTGTCGTTTTAGGTACAGATCACAAAGAAATCTGGCAGCAGGCGAAAACGTCGTGGAAGGTGCAGGTTGTGCGGCTTCCGCAGCAGAACCTAATTGCTTTGTTATGAAAGTGGACAGTAAGCCAGGCTAACTGCCAAAAAATAGTTGCTCCAGTTTCTGAATGCTTGCACCTGTTTCAACTCTTCCCCCTTGTACTGAACTCCGAGATCTATCCGTGATGCCCTGCACTTAACTCCGAGTCTACCCGTGGATTTTAAATGTCTCTAAGAATCGCGAGAAAGAGAGTGTGTGTGCTGCATTTTGGTAGCCTTGACCGATACCAATCCCTTTATTATTCTCACTCACTCCGGACTACATTTGGTCGGTTCTAACCTTCTTTTTCTTTTGGTATGGGCTCTTGTAGGTGAAAAAAAATCTGTTTGTTTCTCTAGTTAATCTTCTTATGTCATATGAAGAAGGGCAATGATATGAAGAGCAATGGGCGGCATGCATACGTTTTTATGAAGTGCAATCGCGGATTATAAAGAGCGAACTGGCGACTGAGGGTCCGATCATTGGTCTTTCCCCGACTGAACGTTCCTTTTGAGTTCAAAGATATAAGGCGATGCCAAAAAGAGATATCACTCACCCCGCTTCTTCGAAGAAACCAACAATTGTGAAGTTAGGATGCTGCTTCTGATAAACTTGTAGTGCTCGGTCACCTGAAAAGAACGAACTGAGAGGTACTTACAGGCCAGACTGTGAGCATGCACCTTACACTTGAGTGTTACTATCTTATGGTGCGAATCATTAACAGCAGTTTCTGATCCTCCCAAGCCAGAGGGCCAAAGTAACCTATCCCAGAGAAAAGAACGGTCAGCGCCCTTATGGGGAATTTGTCTACCACGTTTGAATCACGCAGGTGGAATAGAAGTGGTTATAGTTCAAAAGGTCTGAGGCACGTTATTGCGCTGAGCATTTTCTAGGCAGTCAGGTTGACAAGCAGGCTTGCCACTCTGAGTGAGTTGGATCCTAGCGCGGGTGACCTGCCTAAAAAGCCTCTTCTGCGGCAAAGCCGCAATTCAGATAGGATAAACTGCCCCCACTAGGACGCTCAGGGCTCTTGCGTTATCCTCGCCCTCGTCTACACTCCCAGACGGATCAATCAAGTCTTCCATCCCGACTAATTGCGCCCCAGACGCACCTGAGCCAAAATTCAGTGACATACATCCAAAAAGAAGTGGCTGAGGGATTCAACTTTCAATTATCTGTAGGGTGAGCGCGTCATTAGTTTAGGTATGCATATTTTTTTATATTTTTAGAGGAATGCAACTTGGGGATTCGAGGAGAATGGCTGGATTCAAAGGATGTTCGTCGGTTTCACTTTTCTACCTTATAGAAACAACGAGAGGTTCAATCCTTGTCACTGCGGAAGCTGGAGCGTAACAAGTGGTGGCTCTGGTG